GAGAGGGAGAGAGGGGGAGGACAGCCAGGAGAGAGAGAGAGAGGGGAGGGACAGCCAGGAGAGAGAGAGAGGGGAGGGACAGCCAGGAGAGAGAGAGGGACAGCCAGGAGAGAGAGAGAGGGGAGGGACCGCCAGGAGAGAGAGAGAGGGGAGGGAGGGACAGCCAGGAGAGAGAGAAGGAGAGAGAAGAAGTTCCTGTTGTATGCAGATGACCTCCTTTTACTGTTACCAACAGAGAGAGGTCTATAATACAGCCTGGAAGTGCTGGAAAAATACAGTGCGTCATGGGCACTACCCATCAACCAAAAGAAAACAAAGGTCATTGTTTTCCAAAGGAAGAACACAAAAACCAAGAGTTCTTCTTTCACACTTAAGGACTGCACTCTTCATGAAGCCAACAGCTACACATACCTCGGCCTAGAAACAAACCAATCAGGAAGCTTCAAACCAGCCAAAGAGGCCCTAAGAGACAAGGCGTGTAGAACCTTCTATGCCATCAGGAGAAAAGTCTACAAACTAAAACCGCCTGTAAGTTCCTGGCTTAAAATCTTTGATTTAATGTCATCGTTCAATGTTTTTCTTTTCATAAATACTGCATTTGGAATTTTTTCTGTGTGAATGTTGGATTATATAGATACAACTTACAGCATAATAAACATCTGCTGTTTGTAGATATACCTCAGTTTCATCTATTATTCATTGCTAGTATATCTGATAAGGCCCAAGAGTGATGGAGTGCATTTTGGTTTTCCTATGTTCAGACTCCATACTTTGTTTTAAAAGATCTTGAATGTTAACACTACTCCAAAAAAAACATTTTTATTTCTTGCGTCAACTGTTGTATACAGAGATAGTGGATCTATAATCAAAAGTGAAAATGTTCTGTTTTATTGGGAATATCTAGTAATATCTAGGTAATCTCTGTCTATACAGGATTTATATAGTGCCACAAGTTTGCACAGAGCTTTTACAAAATAAAGAGAGACTGTACAGTTACAATACTAGTCAGTGGGGTTGGGAGGACCCTGCTTGTGAAAGCTTACAATCTAAAAAGAAAGGTGCAACTGATACAAAAGGTTACAACTGTGTGAAGATGAGTTAATGAAGAAGGTAAAAGTTCAGTCATTATGTAGAGACAGGATAGGCTTCCCTAAAATTTCAAGGATTGCCTAAAGTGAAGACTGTGTAGGAGATAGGTGGGG